GCCTTTGCTTCTTCTTCTTCTTACCGGGATCCTCTGCAGCCTCTCTCCGGGCTACTTTGCCTTTGCTTCTTCTTCTTCTTGGGACCCTCTGCAGCCTTTCTCTCCGGGCTACTTTGCCTTTGCTTCTTCTTCTTGGGATCCTCTGCATCCTTTCTCTCCGGGCTTCTTTGCCTTTGCTTCTTTTTTTTCTTGGAATCCTCTGCAGCCTTTCTCTCCGGGCTACTTTGCCTTTGCTTCTTCTTCTTCTTGGGATCCTCTGCAGCCTTTCTCTCCGGACTACTTAGCCTTTGCTGCTTCTTCTTGGGGTCCTCTGCAGCTTTCTTTCCGGGCTACTTGGCCTTTGCTTCTTCTTCTTGTTCTTGGGATCCTCTGCAGCCTTTCTCTCCGGGCTTTTTTGCCTTTGCTTCTTCTTTTTCTTGGGACCTCTGCAGCCTTTCTCTCCGGGCTTTTTTGCCTTTGCTTCTTCTTCTTGTTGGGATCCTCTACAGCCTTTCTCTCCGGGCTACTTTGCCTTTGCTTCTCCTTCTTGGGATCCTCTGCAGCCTCTCTCCGGGCTACTTTGCCTTTGCTCCTTCTTCTTCTTGGGATCCTCTGCAGCCTTTCTCTCCGGGCTACTTTGCCTTTGCTTCTTCTTCTTCTTGGGATCCTCTGCAGCCTTTCTCTCCGGGCTACTTTGCTTTTATTTCTTCTTCTTGGGATCCTCACAAGCCTGTCTCATTCCCAACCCTCCGGGTTTACTTTGCCTTTGCTTCTTCTTCTTCTTGGGATCCTCTGCAGCCTTTCTCTCCGGGCTACTTTGCCTTTGCTTCTTCTTCTTCTTGGGATCCTCTGCAGCCTTTCTCTCCGGGCTACTTTGCCTTTTCTTCTTCTTCTTGGGATCCTCTACAGCCTTTCTCTCCAGGCTACTTTGCCTTTGCTTCTTCTTCTTCTTGGGATCCTCTGCAGCCTTTCTCTCCGGGTTGTTTTATCTTTGCTTCTTCTTCTTCTTATTGGGATCCTCCTGCAATCTTTCTCCTCCGTGCTAATTACCTTTGCTTCTTCTTCTTCTTCTTCTTCTTGGGATCCTCTGCATCTTTCGCTCCTGCCGGCTCTTTTTACTTTTGCTTCTTCTCTGGGAATCTTTCTGCAGCCTTTCTCCCCTCCGGGCTACTTTGACTTTGCTCTTCTTCGTCCTTACGGGATGCTCTGCAGCGTGTCCCTCCGGGCTATTTTTGCCTTTTGCTTCTTTCTCTTCTTCTTGGAACCTCTGCAGCTTTCCGCTTCCGGGCTACTTTGCCTTTGGTCTTCTTCTTCTCTTGGATCTCTTCTGCAGCTTTCTCCTCCTCCGGGCTATTTTGGCTTCGTCTTCTGTCTTTTGTGGATCCTCTGCAGGAAAACCTTTCTCTCCGGGCTACTGTGCCTTTGCTTCTTCTTCTTGGGATCCTCTGCAGCCTTTCTCTCCGGGCTACTTTATCTTTGCTTCTTCTTCTTCTTGGGATCCTCTGCAATCTTTCTCTCCGGACTACTTTGCCTTTGCTTCTTCTTCTTCTTGGGAACCTTTGCAATCTTTCTCTCCGGGCTATTTTGCCTTTGCTTCTTCTTCTGAGGGATCCTCTACAGGCTTTCTCTCCGGGCTATTTTATCTTTGCTTCTTCTTCTTCTTGGGATCCTCTGCCGCCTTTCTCTCCCGGCTACTTTGCCTTTGCTTCTTCTTCTTGGGATCCTCTGCAGCCTTTCTCTCCGGGCTACTTTGCCTTTGCTTGTTCTTCTTCTTGGGATCCTCTGCAGTTCTTGGGATCCTCTGCAGCCTTTCTCTCTGGGCTATTTTGCTTTTGCTTCTTCTTCTTCTTGGGATCCTCTGCAGTCTTTCTCTCCGGGCTACTTTGCCTTTGCTCCTTCTTCTTCTTGGGATCCTCTACAGCCTTTCTCTCCGGGCTACTTTGCCTTTGCTGCTTCTTCTTCGTTTTGGGATCCTCTGCAGCCTTTCTCTCCGGGCTACTTTGCCTTTGTTTCTTCTTCTTGGGATCCTCTGCAGCCTTTCTCTCCGGGCTACTTTGCCTTTATTTCTTCTTCTTGGGATCCTCTGCAGTCTTTCTCTCCGGGCTACTTTGCTTTTGCTTCTTCTTCTTCTTGGGATCCTCTGCAGCGTTTCTCTCCGGGCTACTTTGCCTTTGCTTCTTCTTCTTCTTGGGATCCTCTGCAGCGTTTCTCTCCGGTCTTTTTTGCCTTTGCTTCTTCGTCTTCTTGAGATCCTCTGCAGCCTTTCTCTCCGGGCTACTTTGCCTTTGCTTCTTCTTCTTCTTCTTGGAATCCTCTGCAGCCTTTCTCTCCGGGCTACGTTGCCTTTGCTTCTTCTTCTTCTTGGGATCCTCTGCAACCTTTCTCTCCGGGCTACTTTGCCTTTGCTTCTTCTTCTTCTTGGGATCCTCTGCAGCCTTTCTCTCCGGGCTATTTTGCCTTTGCTTCTTCTTTTTCTTGGGATCCTCTGCAGCTTTTCTCTCCGGGCTACTTTGCCTTTGCTTCTTCTCTTCTTGGAATCCTCTGCAGCCTTTCTCTCCGGGCTATTTTGCCTTTGCTTCTTCTTCGTCTTCTTCTTGGGGTCCTCTGTAGCCTTTCTCTCCGGGCTACTTTGCCTTTGCTTCTTCTTCTTCTTGGGATCCTCTGCAAGGCTACTTTGCCTTTACTTTTTCTTCTTGGGATCCTTTGCAGCCTTTCTCTCCGGGCTATTTTGCCTTTGCTTCTTCTTCTTCTTGGGATCCTCTACAGCCTTTCTCTCCGGGCTACTTTGCCTTTACTTCTTCTTCTTCTTGGGATCCTCTGCAGCCTTTCTCTCCGTGTTACTTTGCCTTTGCTTCTTCTTCGTCTTGGGATCCTCTGCAGCCTTTCTCTCTGGGCTACTTTGCCTTTGCTTCTTCTTCTTCTTGGGATCCTCTGCAGCCTTTCTCTCCGGACTACTTTGCCTTTGCTTCTTCTTCTTCTTTTTCTTCTGCTTCTTCTTGGGATCCTCTGCAGCCTTTCTCTCCGGGCTACTTTGCCTTTGCTTCTTCTTCTTCTTTTTCTTGGGATCTGCTGCAGTTTTTCTCTCCGGGCTACTTTGCCTTTGCTTCTTCTTCGTGCGATGCTCTGCAGCCTTTCTCTCCGGGCTACTTTGCCTTTGCTTCTTCTTCTTGGGATCCTCTGCAGCCTTTCTCTCCGGTCTATTTTGCTTTTTTTGCTTCTTCTTCTTGGGATCTTCTGCAGCCTTTCTCTCCGGGCTGTTTTGCCTTTGCTTCTTCTTCTTGGGATCCTTTGCAGCTTTTCTCTCCGGACTTTTTTTATCTTTGATTCTTCTTCTTCTTGGGATCCTCTGCAGCCTTTCTCTCCGTGTTACTTTGCCTTTGCTTCTTCTTCTTCTTGGGATCTTCTGCAACCTTTCTCTCCGGGCTATTTTGTCTTTGCTTCTTCTTCTTCTTGGGGTCCTCTGCAGCCTTTCTCTCCGGCCTCTTTTGTCTTTGCTGCTTCTTCTTGGGATCCAATGCAGCCTTTCTCTCCGGGCTACCACTAGTTTGCCTTTGCTTCTTCTTCTTCTTGGGATCCTCTGCAGCCTTTCTCTCCGGACTATTTTGCCTTTGCTTCTTCTTCTTGGGATCCTCTACAGCCTTTCTTTCCGGACTTTTTCGCCTTTACTTCCTTCTTCTTCCAGGGATCCTCTACAGGCTTTCTCTCCTGGCTACTTTGCCTTTACTTCTTCTTCTTCTTGGGATCCTCTACAGGCTTTATCTCCTGGCTACTTTGCCTTTGCTTCTTCTTCTTGGGATCTTCTGCAGCCTTTCTCTCCGGGCTATATAGCCTTTGCTTCTTCTTCTTGGGATCCTCTACAGCCTTTCTCTCCGGGCTACTTTGGCTTTGCTTCTTCTGCTTCTTCTTGGGATCCTCTGCAGCCTTTCTCTCCGGCCTATTTTGCCTTTGCTTCTTCTTCTTGGGATCCTTTGCAGCCTCTCTCTCCGGGCTTTTTTACCTTTGCTTCTTCTTCTTCTTGGGATCCTCTGCAGCCTTTCTCTCCGTGTTACTTTGCCTTTGCTTCTTCTTCTTCTTGTGATCCTCCGCAGCCTTTCTCTCCGGGCTATTTTGTCTTTGCTTCTTCTTCTTCTCGGGGTCCTCTGCAGCCTTTCTCTCCGTTTTCTTTTGCCTTTGCTGCTTCTTCTTGGGATCCTCTGCAGCCTTTCTCTCTGTGCTACTTTGCCTTTGCTTCTTCTTCTTCTTGGGATCCTCTGCAGCCTTTCTCTCCGGGCTATTTTGCCTTTGCTTCTTCTTCTTCTTGGGATCCTCTGCAGCCTTTCTCTCCGGGCTAGATTGCCTTTGCTTCTTCTTCTTCTTCTTGGGATCCTTTATAGCCTTACTCTTCGGGCTACTTTGCCTTTGCTTCTTCTCTTCTTGGAATCCTGTGCAACCTTTCTCTCCGGACTATATTGCCTTTGCTTCTTCTTCTTCTTCTTCTTCTTGGATCCGCTGCATGGCCTTTCTCCTCACGTCCCGCATCCGGCTACTTTTGCCTTGCTTCTTCTTCTCGTGGTATCCTCTGCAACCGTCTTTGCCTTTGCTTCTTCTTCTTGGGATCCTCTGCAGCCTTTCTCTCCGTGCTACTTTGCCTCTTCTTCTTCTTCTTGAGATCCTCTGTAGTCTTTCTCTCCGGACTACTTTGCCTTTGCTTCTTCTTCTTCTTCTTGGGATCCTCTGCAGCCTTTCTCTCTGGGCTACTTTGCCTTTGCTTCTTCTTCTTCTTCTTCTTGGGATCTTCTGCAGCCTTTCTCTCCGGGCTATATAGCCTTTGCTTCTTCTTCTTCTTGGGATCCTCTGCAGCCTTTCTCTCCGGGCTACTTTGCCTTTGCTTGTTCTTCTTCTTGGGATCCTCTGCAGTCTTTCTCTCCGGGCTACTTTGCCTTTACTTCTTCTTCGTCTTGGGATCCTCTGCAGCCTTTCTCTCCTCGCTACGTTGCCTCTGCTTCTTCCTCTTCTTGGGATCTTCTGCTGCTTTTCTCTCCGGGCTACTTTGCCTTTGCTTCTTCTTTTTGGGATCCTCTGCAGCCTTTCTCTCCGGGCTACTTTGCCTTTGCTTCTTCTTCTTGGGATCCTCTGCAGCCTTTCTCTCCGGGCTACTTTGCCTTTGCTTCTTCTTCTTCTTGGGATCCTCTGCAGCCTTTCTCTCCAGACTACTTTGCCTTTACTTCTTCTTCTTCTTGGGATCCTCTGCAGCCTTTCTCTCCGGGCTACCAATACTTTGCCTTTGCTTCTTCTTCTTCTTGGGATCCTCTGCAGTCTTTCTCTCCGGGCTACTTTGCCTTTGCTTCATCTTCTTCTTGGGATCCTCTGCAGCCTTTCTCTCCGGGCTACTTTGCCTTTGCTTCTTCTTCTTCTTGCGATCTTCTGCAGCCTTTCTCTCCGGGCTATTTTGCCTTTGCTTCTTCTTCTTCTTGGAATCCTCTGCAGCCTTTCTCTCCTCGCTACTTTGCCTTTGCTTCTTCTTCTTGGGATCTTCTGTAGCCTTTCTCTCCGGGCTACTTTGCCTTTGCTTCTTCTTCTTCTTGGGATCCTCTGCAACCTTTCTACTTTGCCTTTGCTTCTTCTTCTTCTTCTTGGGATCCTCCGCAGCGTTTCTCTCCGGGCTAGTTTGCCTTTGCTTCTTCTTCTTCTTCTTGGGATCCTCTGCAACCTTTCTACTTTGCCTTTGCTTCTTCCTCCGCAGCGTTTCTTCCGGGCTAGTTTGCCTTTGCTTCTTCTTCTTCTTGATCCTCTGCAGCGTTTCTCTCCGGGCTACTTTGCCTTTGCTTCTTCTTCTTCTTGGAATCCTCTGCAGCCGTTCTTTCCGGGCTACTTTGCCTTTGCTCTGCTTCTTCTTGGGATCCTCTGCAGCCTTTCTCTCCGGGCTACTTTACCTTTGCTTCTTCTTCTTCTTGGGGTCCTCTGCAGCCTTTCTCTCCGGACTCTTTTGCCTTTGCTTCGTCTTCTTCTTCTTCTTGGAATCCTCTGCAACCTTTCTCTCCGAGCTGCTTTGCCTTTGCTTCTTCTTCTTCTTCTTCTTGGGATGCTCTTCAGCCTTTCTCTCCGGACTACTTTGCCTTTGCCTCTTCTTCTTCTTGGGATCCTCTGCAGCCTTTCTCTCCGGCTAGGTTGCCTTTGCTTCTTCTTCTTGGGATCCTCTATAGCCTTACTCTCCGGGCTGTTTTGCCTTTGCTTCTTCTTCTTCTTGGGATCCTCTGCAGGGCTACTTTGCCTTTGCTTCATCTTCTTCTTGGGATCCTCTGCAGCCTTTCTCTCCGGGCTACTTTGCCTTGGCTTCTTCTTCTTCTTGGGATCCTCTGCAGCCTTTCTCTCCGGGCTACTTTGCCTTTATTTCTTCTTCTTCTTCTTACTGGGATCCTCTGCAGCCTTTCTCTCCGGGCTACTTTGCCTTTGCTTCTTCTTCTTCTCGGGATCCAATGCAGCCTTTCTCTCCGGGCTACCAATTTTTTGGTTTTGCTTCTTCTTCTTCTTGGGATCTTCTGCAGCCTTTCTCTCCGGGCTACTTTGCCTTTACTTCTTCTTCTTGGGATCCTCTGCAGCCTTTCTCTCCTTTCTCTCCGGGCTATTTTGCCTTTGCTTCTTCTTCTTGGGATCCTCTGCAGCTTTTCTCTCCGGACTCCTTTGCCTTTGCTTCTTATTCTTCTTGGGATCCTCTGCAGCCTTTCTCTCCGGGCTACCAATACTTTGCCTTTGCTTCTTCTTCTTCTTGGGATCCTCTGCAGTCTTTCTCTCCGGGCTACTTTGCCTTTGCTTCTTCTTCTTCTTGGGATCCTCTGCAGCCTTTCTCTCCGGGCTACTTTTGCCTTTGCTTCTTCTTCTTCTTGGAATCCTCTGCAGCCTTTCTCTCCTCGCTACTTTGCCTTTGCTTCTTCTTCTTGGGATCTTCTGCAGCCTTTCTCTCCGGGCTACTTTGCCTTTGCTTCTTCTTCTTGGGATCCTCTACAGGCTTTCTCTCCGGACTTCTTTGCCTTTGCTTCTTCTTCTTCTTGGGATCCTCTATAGCCTTTCTCTCCGGACTACTTTGCCTTTGCTCTCCTCCTTCTTGGGATCCTCTGCAGCCTTTCTCTCCGGGCTACGTTGCCTTTGCTTCTTCTTCTTGGGATCCTCTGCAGCTTTTCTCTCTTCGGGCTACTTTGCCTTTGCTTCTTCTTCTTGGGATCCTCTGCAGCCTTTCTCTCCGGACTACTTTGCCTTTGCTTTTCTTTTGGGATCCTCGCAAGGCTATTTTGCCTTTGCTTTTTCTTCTTGGGATCCTCTGCAGCCTTTCTCTCCGGACTTTTTTGGCTTTGCTTCTTCTTCTTCTTGGGATCCTCTGCAGCCTTTCTCTGCGAGCTCTTTTGCCTTTGCTTCTTCTTCTTCTTCTTGGGATCCTCTGCAGCGTTTCTCTCCGGGCTATTTTGCCTTTACTTCTTCTTCTTGGGATCCTCTGCAGTCTTTCTCTCCGGGCTACTTTGCCTTTGCTTCTTCTTCTTGTGATCCTCTGCAGTCTTTCTCTCCTGGCTACTTTGCCTTTGCTGCTTCTTCTTGGGATCCTCTACAGCTTTTCTCTCCGGGCCACTTTGCCTTTGCTTCTTCTTCTTCTTGGGATCCTCTGCAACCTTTCTCTCCGGGCTATATAGCCTTTGCTTCTTCTTCTTCTTCTTGGGATCCTCTACGGCCTTTCTCTCCGGGCTACTTTACCTTTGCTTCTTCTTCTTCTTGGGATCCTCTGCAACCTTTCTCTCCGGGCTACTTTGCCTTTACTTCTTCTTCGTCTTGGGGTCCTCTGCAGCCTTTCTCTCTGGGCTATTTTGCCTTTGCTTCTTCTTCTTGGGATCTTCTGCAGCCTTTCTCTCCGGACTACTTTGCCTTTGCTTCTTCTTTTTGGGATCCTTTGCAGCCTTTCTCTCCGGGCTACTTTGCCTTTGCTTCTTCTTCTTCTTGGGATCCTCTGCAGCCTTTCTCTCCGGGCTACTTTGCCTTTTCTTCTTCTTCTTGAAATCCTCTGTAGCCTTTCTCTCCGGGCTACTTTGCCTTGGCTTCTTCTTCTTGGAATCCTCTGCAGCCTTTCTCTCCTCGCTACTTTGCCTTTGCTTCTTCTTCTTGGGATCTTCTGCAGGCTTTCTCTCCGGGCTACTTTGCCTTTGCTTCTTCTTCTTGGGATCCTCTACAGGCTTTCTCTCCGGACTTCTTTGCCTTTGCTTCTTCTTCTTCTTGGGATCCTCTATAGCCTTTCTCTCCGGACTACTTTGCCTTTGCTTCTTCTTCCTGGGGTCCTTTATAGCCTTTCTCTCCGGGCTACTTTGCCTTTGCTTCTTCTTTTTGGGATCCTCTGCAGCCTTTCTACTTTGCCTTTGCTTATTCTTCTTCTTCTTGGGATCCTCTGCAGCCTTTCTCTCCGGGCTACTTTGCCTTTGCCTTTGCTTCTTCTTCTTGTGATCCTCTGCAGTCTTTCTCTCCGGGCTACTTTGCCTTTGCTTCTTCTTCTTCTTCTTGGGATCCTCTGCAGCCTTTCTCTCCGGGCTGCTTTGCCTTTGCTTCTTCTTCTTGGGATCCTCTGCAACCTTTCTCTCCGGACTTTTTCGCCTTCGCTTCCTTCTTCTTCTTGGGATCCTCTGCAGTCTTTCTCTCCTGGCTACTTTGCCTTTGCTTCTTCCTCTTCTTGGGATCCTCTGCAGCCTTTCTCTCCGGGCTGTTTTGCCTTTACTTCTTCTTCTTGGGATCCTCTGCAGCCTTTCTCTCCGGGCTACTTTGCCTTTGCTACTTCTTCTTCTTGGGATCCTCTGCAGCCTTTCTCTACGGGCTACTTTGCCTTTACTTCTTCTTCTTGGGATCCTCTGCAGCCTTTCTCTCCGGGCTATTTTGCCTTTGCTTCTTCTTCTTCTTGGGATCCTCTATAGCCTTACTCTCCGGGCTACTTTGCCTTTGCTTCTTCTTCTTGGGATCCTCTGCAGGGCTACTTTGCCTTTGCTTCTTCTTCTTGGGATCCTCTGCAGCCTTTCTCTCCGGGCTACTTTGCCTTGGCTTCTTCTTCTTGGGATCCTCTGCAGCCTTTCTCTCCGGGCTACTTTGCCTTTATTTCTTCTTCTTCTTCTTACTGGGATCCTCTGCAGCCTTTCTCTCCGGGCTACTTTGCCTTTGCTTCTTCTTCTTCTCGGGATCCAATGCAGCTTTTCTCTCCGGGCTACCAATTTTTTGGTTTTGCTTCTTCTTCTTCTTGGGATCTTCTGCAGCCTTTCTCTCCGGGCTACTTTGCCTTTACTTCTTCTTCTTGGGGTCCTCTGCAGCCTTTCTCTCCTTTCTCTCCGGGCTATTTTGCCTTTGCTTCTTCTTCTTGGGATCCTCTGCAGCTTTTCTCTCCGGACTCCTTTGCCTTTGCTTCTTATTCTTCTTGGGATCCTCTTCAGCCTTTCTCTCCGGGCTACCAATACTTTGCCTTTGCTTCTTCTTCTTCTTGGGATCCTCTGCAGTCTTTCTCTCCGGGCTACTTTGCCTTTGCTTCATCTTCTTCTTGGGATCCTCTGCAGCCTTTCTCTCCGGGCTACTTTGCCTTTGCTTCTTCTTCTTCTTGCGATCTTCTGCAGCCTTTCTCTCCGGGCTATTTTGCCTTTGCTTCTTCTTCTTCTTGGAATCCTCTGCAGCCTTTCTCTCCTCGCTACTTTGCCTTTGCTTCTTCTTCTTGGGATCTTCTGCAGCCTTTCTCTCCGGGCTACTTTGCCTTTGCTTCTTCTTCTTGGGATCCTCTACAGGCTTTCTCTCCGGACTTCTTTGCCTTTTCTTCTTCTTTTTCTTGGGATCCTCTATAGCCTTTCTCTCCGGACTACTTTGCCTTTGCTTCTTCTTCCTGGGGTCCTTTATAGCCTTTCTCTCCGGGCTACTTTGCCTTTGCTTCTTCTTCTTCTTGGGATCCTCTGCAGCCTTTCTCTCCGGGCTACTTTGCCTTTGCTTCTTCTTCTTCTTCTTCTTGGGATCCTCTGCAGCTTTTCTCTCCGGGCTACTTTGCCTTTGCTTCTTCTTCTTGGGATCCTCTGCAGCCTTTCTCTCCGGACTACTTTGCCTTTGCTTCTTCTTCTTGGGGTCCTCTGCAAGGCTACTTTACCTTTGCTTTTTCTTCTTGGGATCCTCTGCGGCCTTTCTCTCCGGACTTTTTTGGCTTTGCTTCTTCTTCTTCTTGGGATCCTCTGCAGCCTTTCTCTGCGAGCTCTTTTGCCTTTGCTTCTTCTTCTTCTTCTTGGGATCCTCTGCAGCCTTTCCCTCCGGGCTATTTTGCCTTTACTTCTTCTTCTTCTTGGGATCCTCTGCAGTCTTTCTCTCCGGGCTACTTTGCCTTTGCTTCTTCTTCTTGTGTTCCTCTGCAGTCTTTCTCTCCGGGCTACTTTGCCTTTGCTGCTTCTTCTTGGGATCCTCTACAGCTTTTCTCTCCGGGCCACTTTGCCTTTGCTTCTTCTTCTTCTTGGGATCCTCTGCAACCTTTCTCTCCGGGCTATATAGCCTTTGCTTCTTCTTCTTCTTGGGATCCTCTACGGCCTTTCTCTCCGGGGCTACTTTGCCTTTGCTTCTTCTTCTTCTTGGGATCCTCTGCAACCTTTCTCTCCGGGCTACTTTGCCTTTACTTCTTCTTCGTCTTGGGGTCCTCTGCAGCCTTTCTCTCTGGGCTATTTTGCCTTTGCTTCTTCTTCTTCTTGGGATCTTCTGCAGCCTTTCTCTCCGGGCTACTTTGCCTTTGCTTCTTCTTTTTGGGATCCTTTGCAGCCTTTCTCTCCGGGCTACTTTGCCTTTGCTTCTTCTTCTTGGGATCCTCTGCAGCCTTTCTCTCCGGGCTACTTTGCCTTTGCTTCTTCTTCTTCTTGGGATCCTCTGCAGCCTTTCTCTCCAGACTTCTTTGCTTCTTCTTCTTCTTGGGATCCTCTGCAGCGTTTCTCTCCGGGCTACTTTGCCTTTCTTCTTCTTCTTCTTGGGATCCTCTGCAGCCTTTCTCTGCGAGCTCTTTTGCCTTTGCTTCTTCTTCTTCTTCTTGGGATCCTCTGCAGCCTTTCCCTCCGGGCTACTTTGCCTTTGCTTCTTCTTCTTCTTCTTGGGATCCTCTGCAGCCTTTCTCTCCAGACTACTTTGCCTTTGCTTCTTCTTCTTCTTGGGATCCTCTGCAGCCTTTCTCTCCGGGCTACTTTGCCTTTGCTTCTTCTTCTTGGGATCCTCTGCAGCCTTTCTCTCCTCGCTACTTCTTGGGATCCTCTGCAGCCTTTCTCTCCCGGCTGCTTTGCCTTTGCTTCTTCTTCTTGGGATCCTCTGCAACCTTTCTCTCCGGACTTTTTCGCCTTTGCTTCCTTCTTCTTCTTGGGATCCTCTAAAGTCTTTCTCTCCTGGCTACTTTGCCTTTGCTTCTTCTTCTTCTTGGGATCCTCTGCAGCCTTTCTCTCCGGGCTGTTTTGCCTTTACTTCTTCTTCTTGGGATCCTCTGCAGCCTTTCTCTCCGGGCTACTTGGCCTTTGCTTCTTCTTCTTCTTGGGATCCTCTGCAGCCTTTCTCTCCGGGCTACTTTGCCTTTACTTCTTCTTCTTGGGATCCTCTGCAGCCTTTCTCTCCGGCTATTTTGCCTTTGCTTCTTCTTCTTCTTGGGATCCTCTGCAGCCTTTCTCTCCGGACTATTTTGCCTTTGCATCTTCTTCTTGGGATCCTCTGCAACCTTTCTCTCCGGGCTACTTTGCCTTTGCTTCTTCTTCTTGGGATTCTCTGCAGTCTTTCTCTCCGGGCTACTTTGCCTTTGCTTCTTCTTCTTCTTGGGATCCTCTGCAGCCTTTCTCTCCGGGCTACTTTGCCTTTGCTTTTTCTTTTCGAGGTCCTCTGCAGCCTTTCTCTCCGGGCTATTTTACCATTGTTTCTTCTTCTTCTTGGGATCCTCTGCAACCTTTCTCTCCGGGCTACTTTGTCTTTGCTTCTTCTTCTTCTTGGGATCCTCTGCAGCCTTTCTCTCCGGGCCACTTTGCCTTTGTTTCTTCTTCTTCTTCTTGGGATCCTCTGCAGCCTTTCTCTCCGGGCTGTTGTATCTTTGCTTCTTCTTCTTCTTGGGATCCTCTGCAGCCTTTCTCTCCGGGCTACTTTGCCTCTTCTTCTTCTTCTTGAAATCCTGGGTTAGTTGCATTTGGGGCGCGTGGGAACGCGTTCGATGCATTTGGGGCGCGTGGGTGTTTGACACACCGTCTTACTAAACAAGTTCAAAAGTCCTACAACTTCTATAGACGTTCTACAACTTCCAGAAGTTCTACAAGTTCTACAAGTTCTACAAGTTATACAAGTTCTATAAGTTCTACAAGTTCTATAAGTTCTATAAGTTCTAAAAGTTCTATAAGTTCTAAAAGTTCTAAAAGTTCTAAAAGTTCTAAAAGTTCTTAAAGTTCTACAAGTTCTAAAAGTTCTATAAGTTCTGAAAGTTCTAAAACTTCTATAAGTTCTAAAAGTTCTAAAAGTTCTAAAAGTTCTACAAGTTCTAAAAGTTCTAAAAGTTCTAAAAGTTCTAAAAATTCTAAAAGTTTTAAAAGTTCTACAAGTTCTTTAAGTTCTACAAGTTCTATAAGTTCTGAAAGTTCTAAAAATTCTATAAGTTCTAAAAGCTCTAAAAGTTCTATAAGTTCTAAAAGTTCTAAAAGTTCTAAAAGTTCTATAAGTTCTAAAAGTTCTAAAAGTTCTACAAGTTCTAAAAGTTCTGAAAGTTCTAAAAGTTCTATAAGTTCTCAAAGTTCTATAAGTTCTAGTTCTAAAAGTTCTAAAAGTTCTATAAGTTCTGAAAGTTCTGAAAGTTGTACAAGTTCTGAAAGTTGTACAAGTTCTGAAAGCTTCAAAAGTTATACAAGTTCTAAAAGTTCTAAAAGTTCTAAAAGTTCTAAAATTTCTAAACGTTCTAAAAGTTCTAAAAGTTCTAAAAATTCTAAAAATTCTAAAAGTTCTAAAAGTTCTAAAAATTCTAAAAGTTCTAAAAGTTCTTAAAGTTCTACAAGTTCTACAAGTTCTATAAGTTCTACAAGTTCTAAAAGTTCTAAAAGTTCTAAAAGTTCTAAAAGTTCTAAAAGTTCTAAAAGTTCTAAAAGTTCTAAAAGTTCTCCAAGTTCTAAAAGTTCTAAAAGTTCTAAAAGTTCTATAAGTTTCAAAAGTTCTATAAGTTCTGAAAGTTCTAAAAATTCTATAAGTTCTAAAAGTTCTAAAAATTCTATAAGTTCTAAAGGTTCCAAAAGTTCTAAAAGTTCTATAAGTTCTAAAAGTTCTAAAAGTTCTAAAAGTTCTAAAAGTTCTAAAAGTTCTAAAAGTTCTAAAAGTTCTAAAAGTTCTATAAGTTCTATAAGTTCTATAAGTTCTATAAGTTCTATAAGTTCTATAAGTTCTAAAAGTTCTAAAAGTTCTATAAGTTCTGAAAGTTCTGAAGATATATGTATATATATTTATAGGTGTATATGCACATATCTAGTATGTACATATAGTTCGTACATTCACATGTAGATGGATGTATACATACATATGCATACATATGTACACATATACATATACATCTATACATATGCGCGTGCGTGTGTATACTCATATATATATATATATATACATATAGTGATGTGTATTGTGTGTGCTTGTGTATTTTGTTTATACACAGTTACATTTACACATGTATGTATATCTATTCATATTTACATGTACATATGCGACTGTATTTATGTATAAATATATATATATATATATATATATATATATACATATGTGTATATGCATATGTGCGGGTAGTAAAGCGGTCGACGGGCATTGCCGAGCGGCGAGCAACTGCCCTCCGGCTTCCTGTTACACGCGCAGAAGATGGTGTGGCGCCTCTTTTCCCTTTCGTGTGCCTCGACAGCATCTAGTGTCAGGACGGTTCCTGCAACTGACGCACTTGCAGCTTCGTGCCTTTTCTGCTGCTGTTCATCAGACATGTGGCTTGATTTCTATAAAGCGTACTGCCTGCGCCGCTTAGCTGCGCCGTCCAAGCGAACGTAGACATGTAGGGTCTGTTGCCACGTGCCAGCATGCCGGTGCCACAGCCGCCGCAGTACCAGTGCACCATGCATCGTGGATGGAGCTGGTTGAAAGAGCAATGGAACCTTCACGGCGGCTCCATCGCAGGACACGTAGGCTTCCAAGCAGTGTCCGCCTTGAGCGCCCGCTTGAGCCATCCTCCAGTGCCGATTTTCATGTACTTGCTGGCCGCCCTGGGTACCTTGTCGAACGGTGCCTCCATCAATGTTTGGGGTAGTCCAATGCCCATCGCTATCTGGGTTTTGAATGTCAACTACTCACAAACCAGAAAGAGCCAGCTAACAGCGTTGATGGAGAGCTTGTGCAGCAAGGCTGACGCAATGGCTGAGGAACTGTGGGGTGCTGTCTTGAAAACCAAGCAAGCATATGCAGCTTCGTCCGCCCGAGCCGCTGCAAGTGAAGAGACCGACTGCGAGCAGGATGAAGACACGCTTCAATCTGTTGACGGCAGAGGCAAGCGCAAAGTACGACGAGGTTCTGGCGCTGACAACTGCCTGGAGGAGCCATTGCAGATCTGGTCAGTAGCCTACTTGGGTGGCACACTCGAGCGCTCCAAGCAGCGCTGCGCGGGGGACTTTCACCAGGTGCGTGCCGTGCGAGACACAGCGCCCAGCAAGCTTTGTTCTGTCCCAGCAGATCAGGCTCGATCTCATGGGCATGTGCACGACCAAGAGTTGCGAGTCTTGGCGGCGAGGGGCCTTCCAGGTCGCTTATGGTTCTCTCAAGCCCTTGTACTCGACGAGGCATATGATTTCCTTCAAGACCTAGCCTTGCTAGATGCGCCAGGATCGAGGAAGTCAAATGCCGAGACACAAGGACAGACGCCAGCTGCCGGCTGGGCCAATAGGCTTATGCAGACCGGTCAGAGTACCTTCGAGACGAAGACCATGGGTGTCCATGGCGGAAAGGGTGCCCCTGCTGTCAGCTCATCAGTCGTAGGCAACATTCACAGTGCGGTTGCTGTCGAAATGGCCCGCGGCATCCGTGGAGATCATGGCTGTGCGACGAGGATGAGAATGTTCCTAGTCTCAGGCGAACCTGTCCAGCCACACGCTCGCGTTGCAGGCTGCTGCGTGGCATCCAAGCAGAAGTGGTGCTTGCTTCCCCGCTTGGTGCAGACAGCCTTAGGCCTGGAACAGCACCTGACTTCTCCACAGGCAGCACAGGTCTACTTCCAGGACGAGCTCATGGAGTCACAGGATGCGCCGTCGGACGTGCTCTACTTTCCTGACGAGCGCGGGTGGCAGTACACGCTCCCCGACGGCGTCGAGACTGCCATTCGCCTAGCTCGGCGAGATCATGGCTGGGATGCGCAGTGGTGCCTCGGAGATCGCGACTTTGATATTCCTGCCGAGCTCAGCGTCTACGACGCAGCAGATCGGTTTGTGCGTCACTTCCGACAAAGCCATCGACCCATCGGTTTCCACGACGACGCTGCCCAGGCACACGGTAGTTGTTCGACTTTAATCCCTTCCCCGTAACATTAAAGGAAGTCTTCTCCCCCCCTTCCAGAATCTCGAAATCCAGGCCGGCCAGCAGTCACGCAACCCTGAGCCCTGAAGCCCTAAGCCCTAAAGCCCTAAAGTCTAAAGCCCTTAAAGCCCTTATAGCCTCTTAAAGGCCTTAAAGCCCTTAAGTCCTAAAACCCTAAGGCCTACTTTTTTAGGTTTAGTATTACATGTAATCTTCGTCCTATGACAACTCATACAAATCTAGGCTCCCCCCTAATATTTATCCTTTTAAATTGCGTGTTGTGTTGTGTGTATTTTCAAGACATAGCTGTTTGCTGCGATCCGGTCCAAGCCCATTCGAATTCGCTTTTGCGTGCTGTGTTGGAATGTGAGGCCAGATTCCGACAACTGTCGATTTAGGGTTTACGGTTTCAATGATCCTTACATAGTTTGTCTTTGATTAAGCATTAGAATCATCACATGTGATTCCATAACAATATCATTGCTACGAAGTTAACATGAAATCCAAAGAACATCCAGACAGGATGATTGCAACGAAGTTAAGGGTCCTTGTCGTTGACCGATATGTCGCTGTTGGTGTTGGTGTCGTGGTGATGCAGTTGTGGTTGTTGTCGCTGTTGTTGTTGCTGCTGCTCCTGCTGCTGCCACTGCCGTTGATCTTGGTGGTGTTGCAACTGATTCGGCTCCTGTTGTGCTCTATGTCTCTGGTGGTTGTAACTCCTCTTCTGACTTGGACTGTTATCTTTGCCGTTGTTCTCATATAGTTATTGCCGGTTATTATTTTTTTCGGGCCCTTAAGTAAATGCAGGTAGTGGGAGGGGCTGTAATATTCGTGAGCTACGATTATCCTAATAAAACCACTAATGGCCAGCGCTTTCCCAAAGCAGGAGATTTTTCTGTCCTACGCCACCTTCTACCAGATCCAAGTGGTGGCTGCTCGTCAAAACAAGGACATCGCAGCTGCGGCCGCCAAGGGGACCAGCCCCTGGAAGCTTGCGCAGCTCTCCGCTTGCATATGCCTCTGGGACCTTCTGTGGTTGCCCGCCACCACCAGCTCCTCCAGCGCGCCGATGGATCTGTCCGTCACCAAAGAGCATGTCCAGCGTGCCTTCACCTGCCTCGAGATGCTAGAAGGTTTCGGCAACGTCCTAGCAGGGCTGGAAGCAGACAAAACGTGGATGCAGGCCCCCGCGGAGTTGCACACAGACAACAGCGACGAGCTCCTCCTGCAGAGCAAGCTTCAGGACACGTACGGTGGCACGGAAGAAGAGACTCTGTGCAAAGATGTCAACTTCGATCCGGCCGTGCCACAGAAGACTGGAATCAAGGATCAGACCATCGCCAGACGGATTATGCAGAAGGCCGTGCCTGACAAGTCTCGTTCCCTTCAACCGGATGCGGACCAGTGTTTCGCAACAAGTTCTCGCTGCACATGGGGTCTCTTCTCCGCCAAGGAGCAGACCAAGATGAGGCACAAGCTTTGCGTCGGAGACTTCCGTCTTGTGGCCAAGGCCGTGCCGGAAGAGATCGGTGAGTTCCTGTGGGGAACCGACAGCTTGCATTTCAAGCTGCCTCGTGCACAGGACATCTCCAGCGAGGACCCCATTCACGATGCTCTCAAGAACTTCGCCAACATCACCCTTGACGAGCTGTGGCTGGACCTGTCCGCCAGGCAGGCCGATGAGACCAAGCAAAAACGTGGGGAGAAGGCGCGCGAGGCCAAGAAGCGCAAGAAGATGGATTCCAAGCAGCCAGACGAGGATTGAGAGCCAACTCCTGTATTGCAGCGTAGCTCCCGACTTTTTTTAACCGTCATTATTATTATTATTGTTATTATTATTATAGTTGTTATTATTCGCATTTATTATCCTTGTTGTTAGTCTTACTTTGATTGCTAGTCTTATTATTGTTCTGGTTATTATGAAGATGATTATTGTTATTATTCATATTCTTGTTATTATTTGTTTCACAAAATTCAGATAAACTCTGGAAGCCTTTCGTGTCAAGAGACACGTGCGTGCAGATGCATGCCCCTTGCCAACTCATGGCTCCAACTGCAGGTGTCTGTGTGTCCTGCGCTTTAGATTGTGGGTTTACTTAGGCTTTAGTGATTTTGTATTTCAATCTCTAGGCTTTCTAGATTTGTGGTAGGAGATAGCTTGCAGACTTCAGGCACACAGCACGCTTTCAGTCCAGTTTTTTTACTGTTGCGCTTGCTCGCGCCGTGCACCCCTGACTGACGTCTAGAACCAGAAAAGTGGTCTCTGCACGTATCTTGCACATGCTCAGCGCTCGAGTCTCTGAAGGCAAGGTCTGCAAGCTGGCATAGCTTCCAAGCATCTCTCTGCCAGCTGCCATTCCGGCCCTGGAGGAGTCTCGCCAGTTAGTCGACCGGTGTAGAGCCTATCATGCCTTCGGCGACTGTGCGGCCTCACCAACGCGGAGCCCGCCCTCAGGCAAAGCTACCAGGCACGTTGACCCCCCAGGAGTTCGCTGCGCAGTTTCACAGACAGCAGCAGACCGACACAGACAGTTCCTTCGCGCAGATGCTTCAGCAGCAAGTGAGTTGGCCTCACGGCTTTACCGACAGCTTCTTTTTGCGAGCCGCGATGATCCTCTACAGCTTCGGTCTCCTCAGCTGGCAGACTTCCTGCAGCCAAGCACGTTGTGGAGGGAAAGTCCAGTTCGAAGAGACAGTGCGAAACGATCGGGCAGGCACTAAGTGTCGCTACCACTTCCGCTGTCTGCGCTGTGGCACGCGCACCAGTCCCGAGGCGAACGGAGCTCTACATGGGGTACGATCTCACCTCTGGATGGCTTGGATTCATTTCACCGCCTTGTGCACCCACAATCAGCCATGGAGTCAAATCATGACCACAATGCGAAGTCAGTATGGCGTTAGCTCACCTTACCACACTCTCGGAGATTGGCTTGAAAGGGTGCAAAAAGCCATGGGAGACTACACTCGGGCCAAGAAGATGGATGTCATTGGCGGCAAAGGATTCGTGGTGGCCTGGGACGAGACAGCTTGGGGACGACAGCGTGCAGGCATCATGAAGAAGCCCGCGCAGCAGCGAGGGCGAAGCGTCCACACCATGAAGAGATTGCCTGGTCAAACCATCTGGAAAAAGCCCGCTGTCCAGACAAGTGCAGGCAGTGACAAAGGCGAGACAAGGTGGATCTGGATGGCTGTTGTCTGTGGAAGACAAGCTTCCGCAGGAAGGCCTGCGGAGGTCTTCACGCACATGAGTCAGACCAAGCGCGTGGCTGCCGTGCTTTTGCCTGTCAGCGGCAAGGCCCTTCAGGGCAAGCCTCGAGGCGCCCAGCAGCTCAAGAAGGTCATCAAGCATCACATCAAGCCTGGGACGAAGCCCGTGACTGATGGTTGGGCTCCTTCAGCCAGCGTGGTCAACTCCTTGGCCCATTTCGATGAGCACGCCGTGGTGAACCACTCCAAGGAATGGCGTAACGAGGACGGCTACCATACCAATGACATCGAGTCGGAGAACAATCGTCTCAAGACCTGGGCCCGCCGACGATGGGGTCGCTTGCCGCCCAAGTGCACGGACGAGATGCTGATGGAGTATGTCTTCCGAGTCAACGTCGGTTCGTCCTTCATGTGCGTCCTCACAGCCGTGCAGCACGATGCCGGTGTCTAGAGTCCCTCAGTAGCCGTCCCGCTCGAGTTCCGATAGCTACCTTTACTGTTTCTTTCCCCTAAAATTATAAAGCTTGGCCGGAATATCCCCAAGCTGCCATGCAAGTTGAAGTGCAAGGCCGCGGTAACTGCTCACTGCGCGTAGTCTACCTCGCAAGCCTGCTGTTAAAACATCCTTCCGGAGACCTGCACAGCGGCAGCTCGCTGTAACGCACAGCAATCGAACGTCACAACCCGTCACATCAGCTCAGGTGCCCTGGCTCCAGATCGAGACGCTTCTGCAGCCGAGGGCCGCAGAGAACTATCATTATTATCATAATTAGTACGGTCATTGCTATCATTCCTGTTGCAATCCCAGAAGCCAACATCCAGTAAGCAAGGCTAGGCGAAACATCCCAGAAATTCCCACGCACCCCAAACGCAGCAGAGACATTCCCACGCACCCCAAACGCAAGTAGCGCGAAATCCTCTGTAGCCTTTCTCTCCGGGCTACTTTGCCTTGGCTTCTTCTTCTTGGGATCCTCTGCAGCCTTTCCCTCCGGGCTACTTTGCCTTTGCTTCTTCTTCTTCTTCGTTTTCTTCTTCTTCTTGGGATCCTCTGCAGCCTTTCTCTGCGGGCTACTTTGCCTTTGCTTCTTCTTCTTGGGATCCTCTGTAGCCTTTCCCTCCGGGCTACTTTGCCTTTGCTTCTTCTTCTTGGGATCCAATGCAGCCTTTCTCTCCGGGCTACCAATACTTTGCCTTTGCTCCTTCTTCTTCTTGGACCCTCTATAGCCTTTCTCTCCTCGCTACTTTGCCTTTGCTTCTTCTTCTTCTTGGGATCCTCTGCAGCCTTTCTCTCCGGGCTATTTTGCCTTTTCTTCTTCTTCTTGGGATCCTCTGCAACCTTTCTCTCCGGGCTATTTTGCCTTTGCTTCTTCTTCTTCTTGGGATCCTCTATAGCCTTTCTCTCCGGGCTACTTTGCTTTTGCTTCTTCTTCTTCTTGGGATCTCTGCAGCCTTTCTCTCCGGGCTACTTTGCCTTCTTCTTCTTGCTCTATAGCCTTCTTCTACTCCTTGGGATCCTCTGCAACCTTTCTCTCCGGGCTATTTTGCCTTTGCTTCTTCTTCTTCTTGGGATCCTCTGCAGCCTTTCTCTCCTTGTTATTTTGCCTTTGCTTCTTCTTCTTCTTGTGATCTTCTGCAACCTTTCTCTCCGGGCTACTTTGCCTTTGCTTCTTCTTCTTGGGATCCTCTGCAGCCTTTCTCTCCGGGCCACTTTGCCTTTGCTTCTTCTTCTTGGGATCCTCTGTAGCCTTTCTCTCCGGGCTATTTTGCCTTTGCTTCTTCTTTTTCTTCTTCTTGGGATCCTCTGCAGCCTTTCTCTCCGGGCTATTTTGCCTTTGCTTCTTCTTCTTGGGATCCTCTGCAGCCTTTCTCTCCGGGCTACTTTGCCTTTGCTTCTTCTTCTTCTTGGGATCGTCTGCAGCCTTTCTCTCCGGGCAATTTTGCCTTTGCTTCTTCTTCTTCTTCTTGGGATCCTCTGCAGCCTTTCTCTCCGGGCTACTTTGCCTTTTGCACTTCTTCTTCTTGGGTAAGCCTCTGGCAGCCTTACTTCCGGGATACTTTGCCGTTGCGCTTATCTTCTCGTGGGATCCTCGCCGTCTTTATCGCCGGGCTCTTTGCCTTTGTTCTTCTTATTCTTGGCATCCGCTGCAGGTACTTTCTCTCCGGGCTGATTTGGCCTTGACTCTTCTTGGGATCCTCTGCAGCCTTTCTCTCCGGGCTACTTTGCATTTGCTTCTTCTTCTTGGGATCCTCTGCAGCCTTTCTCTCCGGGCTGTTTTGCCTTTGCTTCTTCTTCTTGGGATCCTCTGCAGCCTTTCTCTCCGGGCTACTTTGCCTTTGCTTCTTCTTCTTCTTGGGATCCTCTGCAGCCTTTCTTTCCGGGCTATTTTGCCTTTGCTTCATCCTCTGCAGCCTTTCTCTCCGGGCTCTTTTGCCTTTGCTTCTTCTTCTTCTTGGGATCGTCTGCAGCCTTTCTCTCCGGGACCCCTCTATAGCCTTTCTCTCCGGGCTACTTTGCCTTTGCTTCTTCTTCTTGGGATCCTCTGCAGCCTTTCTCTCCGGGCTATTTTGCTTTTGGTTCTTCGTCTTCTTGGGATCCTCTGCAGCCTTTCTCTCCCGGCTACTTTGCCTTTGCTTCTTCTTCTTCTTCTTGGGATCCTCTGCAGCCTTTCTCTCCGGGCTACTTTGCCTTTGCTTCTTCTTCTTCTTGGGATCCTCTGCAGCCTTTCTCTCCGGGCTACTTTGCCTTTACTTCTTCTTCTTGGGATCCTCTGCAGCCTTTCTCTCCGGCCTACTTTGCCTTTGCTTCTTCTTCTTGGGATCCTTTGCAGCCTTTCTCTCCGAGCTTTTTTACCTTTGCTTCTTCTTCTTGGGATCCTCTGCAGCCTTTCTCTCCGTGTTACTTTTCCTTTGCTTCTTCTTCTTCTTGGGATCCTCTGCAGCCTTTCTCTCCGGCCTACTTTGCCTTTGCTTCTTCTTCTTGGGCTCCTTTGCAGCCTTTCTCTCCGAGCTTTTTTACCTTTGCTTCTTCTTCTTCTTGGGATCCTCTGCAGCCTTTCTCTCCGTGTTACTTTGCCTTTGCTTCTTCTTCTTCTTGGGATCCTCTGCAGCCTTTCTCTCCGGGCTATTTTGTCGTTGCTTCTTCTTCTTCTTGGGGTCCTCTGCAGCCTTTCTCTCCGGTTTCTTTTGCCTTTGCTGCTTCTTCTTGGGATCCAATGCAGCCTTTCTCTCCGGGCTACCACTACTTTGCCTTTGCTTCTTCTTCTTCTTGGGATCCTCTGCAGCCTTTCTCTCCGGGCTACTTTGCCTCTGCTTCTTCTTCTTCTTCTTGGGATCCTCTTCTTCTTGGCCTTTCTCTCCGGGCTGCTTTGCCTTCGTTTCTTCTTCTTCTTGGGATCCTCTGCAGCCTTTCTCTCCGGGCTACTTTGCCTTTGCTTCTTCTCTTCTTGGAATCCTCTGCAGCCTTTCTCTCCGGGCTAGATTGCCTTTGCTTCTTCTTCTTCTACTTCTTGGGATCCTCTATAGCCTTACTCTCCGGGCTGTTTTGCCTTTGCTTCTTCTTCCCAAGAATCCTCTGTAGGGCTACTTTGCCTTTGCTTTTTCTTCTTGGGATCCTCTGCAGCCTTTCTCTCCGGGCTGCTTTGCCTTTGCTTCTTCTTCTTCTTCTTGGGATCCTCTGCAGCCTTTCTCGCCGGACTAGTTTGCCTTTGCTTCCTCTTCTTCTTTTTAGGATCCTCTGCAGCCTTTCTCTCCGGGCTACTTTGCCTTGGCTTCTTCTTCTTGTGATCCTCTGCAGCCTTTCTCTCCGGGCTACTTTTCCTTTATTTCTTCTTCTTCTTACTGGGATCCTCTGCAGCCTTTCTCTCCGGGCTACTTTGCCTTTGCTTTTTCTTTTTGAGGTCCTCTGCAGCCTTTCTCTCCGGGCTACTTTGCCTTTGCTTCTTCTTCTTCTTGGGATCCTCTGCAGCCTTTCTCTCCGGGCTACTTTGCCTTTACTTCTTCTTCTTGGGATCCTCTGCAGCCTTTCTCTCCTTTCTTTCCGGGCTACTTTGCCTTTGCTTCTTCTTCTTGGGATCCTCTGTAGCTAATCTCTCCGGACTCCTTTGCCTTTGCTTCTTATTCTTCTTGGGATCCTCTGCAGCCTTTCTCTCCGGGCTACCAATACTTTGCCTTTGCTTCTTCTTCTTCTTGGGATCCTCTACAGTCTTTCTCTCCGGGCTACTTTGCCTTTACTTCTTCTTCTTCTTCTTCTTGGGATCCTCTGCAGCTTTTCTCTCCGGACTACTTTGTCTTTGCTTCTTATTCTTCTTGGGATCCTCTGCAGTCTTTCTCTCCGGGCTACTTTGCCTTTGCTTGTTCTTCTTGGGATCCTCTACAGCCTTTCTCTCCGGGCTACTTTGCCTTTTCTTCTTCTTCTTCTTGGGATCCTCTGCAGCCGTTCTCTCCGGGCTACTTTGCCTTTGCTTCTTCTTCTTGGGATCCTCTGCAACCTTTCTCTCCGGACTTCTTTACCTTTGCTTCTTCTTCTTCTTGGGATCCTCTGCAGCCTTTCTCTCCTGACTTTTTTGCCTTTGCTTCTTCTTCTTGGGGTCCTTTATAGCCTTTCTCTCCGGGCTTTTTTACCTTTGCTTCTTCTTCTTTTTGGGATCCTCTGCAGCCTTTCTCTCCGGGCTACGTTTTCTTTGCTGCTTTTTCTTCTTCTTGGGATCCTCTGCAGCCTTTCTCTCCGGGCTACTTTGCCTTTGCTTCTTCTTCTTCTTGGGATCCTCTGCAGCCTTTCTCTCCGGGCTACTTTGCCTGTACTTCTTCTTCTTGGGATCCTCTGCAGCCTTTCTCTCCGGGCTACTTTGTCTTTGCTTCTTCTTCTTCTTGGGATCCTCTGCAGCCTTTCTCTCCGGGCTATTTTGTCTTTGCTTCTTCTTCTTCTTGAGATCCTCTGCAGCCTTTCTCTCCGGGCTACTTTGCCTTTGCTTCTTCTTCTTGAAATCCTCTGCAGCCTTTCTCTCCGGGCTACTTTGCCTTGGCTTCTTCTTCTTGGGATCCTCTGCAGCCTTTCTCTCCGGGCTACGTTGCCTTTGCTTCTTCTTCTTCTTCTTGGGATCCTCTGCACTTTTTCTCTCCGGGCTACTTTACCTTTGCTTCTTCTTCTTCTTGGGATCCTCTGCAACCTTTCTCTCCGGACTACTTTGCCTTTGCTTCTTCTTCTTGGGATCCTCTGCAGCCTTTCTCTCCGGACTACTTTGCCTTTGCTTCTTGATCTTCTTGGGATCCTCTATAGCCTTCTCTCCGGACTTTTTCGCCTTTGCATCCTTCTTCTTCTTGGGATCCTCTGCAGTCTTTCTCTCCTGGCTACTTTGCCTTTGCTTCTTCTTCTTCTACTTCTTGGGATCCTCTGCAGCCTTTCTCTCCGGGCTGCTTTGCCTTTGCTTCTTCTTCTTGGGATCCTCTGCAACGTTTCTCTCGGGACTTTTTCGCCTTTGCTTCCTTCTTCTTCTTGGGATCCTCTGCAGTCTTTCTCTCCTGGCTACTTTGCCTTTGCTTCTTCTTCTTCTTGGGATCTTCTGCAGTCTTTCTCTCCGGGCTACTTTGCCTTTACTTGTTCTTCTTGGGATCCTCTGCAGCCTTTCTCTCCGGGCTACTTTGCCTTTGCTTCTTCTTCTTCTTGGGATCCTCTGCAGCCTTTCTCTCCGGGCTGTTTTGCCTTTACTTCTTCTTCTTGGGATCCTCTGCAGCCTTTCTCTCCGGGCTACTTTGCCTTTGCTTCTTCTTCTTCTTGGGATCCTCTGCAGACTTTCTCTCCGGACTATTTTGCCTTTGCATCTTCTTCTTGGGATCCTCTGCAACCTTTCTCTCCGGGCTATTTTGCCTTTGCTTCTTCTTCTTGGGATTCTCTGCAGCCTTTCTCTCCGGGCTACTTTGCCTTTGCTTCTTCTTCTTCTTCTTCTTGGGATCCTCTGCAGCCTTTCTCTCCGGGCCACTTTGCCTTTGCTTCTTCTTCTTCTTGGGACCCTCTGCAGCCTTTCTTTCCGGGCTTTTTTACCTTTGTTTCTTCTTCTTCTTGGGATCCTCTGCAGCCTTTCTCTCCGGGCTACTTTGTCTTTGCTTCTTCTTCTTCTTGGGATCCTCTGCAGCCTTTCTCTCTGGGCCACTTTGCCTTTGCTTCTTCTTCTTGGGATCCTCTGCAGCCTTTCTCTCTGGGCCACTTTGCCTTTGCTTCTTCTTCTTCTTGGGATCCTCTGCAGCCTTTCTCTCCGGGCTATTGTATCTTTGCTTCTTCTTCTTCTTGGGATCCTCTGCAGCCTTTCTCTCCGGACTACTTTGCCTTGGCTTCTTCTTCTTGGGATCCTCTACAGCCTTTCTCTCCGGGCTACTTTGCTTTTGCTTCTTCTTCTTCTTGGGATCCTCTGCAGCCTTTCTCTCCGGGCTAGTTTGCCTTTGCTTCTTCTTCTTCTTGGGATCCTCTGCAGCCTTTCTCTTCGGCTAGTTTGTCTTTGCTTCTTCTTCTTCTTTTTCTTGGGATCTTCTGCAACCTTTCTCTCCGGGCTATTTTGCCTTTGCTTCTTCTTCTTGGGATCCTCTGCAGCCTTTCTCTCCGGGCTACTTTGCCTTTGCTTCTTTTTCTTCTTCTTGCGATCTTCTGCAGCCTTTCCTCTCCGGGCTACTTTGCCTTTGCTTCTTCTTCTTTTTGGGATCCTCTGCAACCTTTCTCTCCGGGCTACTTTGCCTTTGCTTCTTCTTCTTGGGATCCTCTGCAGCCTTTCTCTCCGGGCTTTTTTGCCTTTGCTTCTTCTTCTCCTTGGGATCCTCTGCAGCCTTTCTCTTCGGGCTACTTTGCCTTTGCTTCTTCTTCTTCTTGGGATATTCTGCAGCCTTTCTCTCCGGGCTTTTTTACCTTTGCTTCTTCTTCTTCTTGGGATCCTCTGCAGCCTTTCTCTCCGGGCTACTTTTGCTTTGCTGCTTCTTCTTCTTCTTGGGATCCTCTGCAGTCTTTCTCTCCGGGCTACTTTGCCTTTGCTTCTTCTTCTTGGAAGCCTCTGCAGCCTTTCTCTCCGGGCTACTTTGCCTTTGCTGCTTCTTCTTCTTCTTGGGATCCTCTGCAGCCTTTCTCTCCGGGCTCTTTTGCCTTTGCTTCTTCTTCTTCTTCTTGGGATCCTCTGCAGCCTTTCTCTCCGGGTTACTTTGGCTTTGCTTCTTCTTCTTCTTGGGATCTTCTGCAGCCTTTCTCTCCGGGCTATTTTGCCTTTGCTTCATCCTCTGCAGCCTTTCTCTCCGGGCTCTTTTGCCTTTGCTTCTTCTTCTTCTTCTTGGGATCCTCTGCAGCCTTTCTCTCCGGGCTACTTTGCCTTTGCTTCTTCTTCTTGGGATCCTCTGCAGCCTTTCTCTCCGGCTACTTTGCCTTTGCTTCTTCTTCTTCTTGGGACCTCTGCAGCCTTTCTCTCCGGGCTACTTTGCCTTTGCTTCTTCTTCTTCTTGGGATCCTCTGCAGCCTTTCTCTTCGGGCTACTTTGCCTTTGCTTCTTCTTCTTCTTGGGATCTTCTGCAGCTTTTCTCTCCGGGCTACTTTGCCTTTGCTCCTTCTTCTTGGGACCCTCTATAGCCTTTCTCTCTGCAGCCTTTCTCTCCGGGCTACTTTGGCTTTGCTTCTTCTTCTTCTTCTTGGGATCCTCTGCAGCCTTTCTCTCCGTGTTACTTTGCCTTTGCTTCTTCTTCTTCTTCTTGGGATCCTCTGCAGCCTTTCTCTCCGGGCTATTTTGTCTTTGCTTCTTCTTCTTCTTGGGATCCTCTGCAGCCTTTCTCTCCGGTTTCTTTTGCCTTTGCTGCTTCTTCTTGGGATCCAATGCAGCCTTTCTCTCCGGGCTACCACTACTTTGCCTTTGCTTCTTCTTCTTCTTGGGATCCTCTGCAGCCTTTCTCTCCGGGCTATTTTGCCTTTGCTTCTTCTTTTTCTTGGGATCCTCTGCAGCTTTTCTCTCCGGGCTACTTTGCCTTTGCTTCTTCTCTTCTTGGAATCCTCTGCAGCCTTTCTCTCCGGGCTATTTTGCCTTTGCTTCTTCTTCGTCTTCTTCTTGGGGTCCTCTGTAGCTTTTCTCTCCGGGCTATTTTGCCTTTGCTTCTTCTTCGTGTTCTTCTTGGGGTCCTCTGTAGCTTTTCTCTCCGGGCTACTTTGCCTTTGCTTCTTCTTCTTCTTGGGATCCTCTGCAGGACTACTTTGCCTTTGCTTTTTCTTCTTCTTGGGATCTTCTGCAGTCTTTCTCTCCGGGCTACTTTGCCTTTACTTGTTCTTCTTGGGATCCTCTGCAGCCTTTCTCTCCGGGCTACTTTGCCTTTGCTTCTTCTTCTTCTTTTCCTTCTTCTTCTTCTTGGGATCCTCTGCAGCATTTCTCTCCGGGCTACTTTGGCTTTGCTTCTTCTTCTTCTTCGTGGGATCCTCTGCAGCCTTTCTCTCCGGACTACTTTGCCTTTATTTCTTCGTCTTCTTCTTACTGGGATCCTCTGCAGCCTTTCTCTCTGGGCTACTTTGCCTTTGCTTCTTCTTCTTCTTGGGATCTTCTGCAGCCTTTCTCTCCGGGATACTTTGCCTTTGCTTCTTCTTTTTGGGATCCTCTGCAGCCTTTCTCTCCGGGCTACTTTGCCTTTGCTTCTTCTTCTTGGGATCCTCTGCAGCCTTTCTCTCCGAACTACTTTGCCTTTGCTTCTTCTTCTTCTTCTTGGGATCCTCTGCAGCCTTTCTCTCCAGACTACTTTGCCTTTACTTCTTCTTCTTCTTGGGATCCTCTGCAGCCTTTCTCTCCTCGCTACTTCGCCTTTGCTGCTTCTTCTTGGGATCCTCTGCAGCCTTTCTCTCCGGGCTACTTTGCCTTTGCTTCTTCTTCTTCTTGGGATCCTCTGCAGCCTTTCTCTCCGGGCTACTTTGCCTTTGCTTCTTCTTCTTCTTCTTGCGATCATTTGCAGCCTTTCTCTCCGGGCTATTTTGCCTTTGCTTCTTTTTCTTGGGATCCTCTGCAGCCTTTCTCTCCTCGCTACTTTGCCTTTGCTTCTTCTTCTTGGGATCTTCTGCAGCCTTTCTCTCCGGGCTACTTTGCCTTTGCTTCTTCTTCTTGGGATCCTCTGCAACCTTTCTTTTTTGCCTTTGCTTCTTCTTCTTCTTGGGATCCTCTGCAGCCTTTCTCTCCGGGCTAGTTTGCCTTTGCTTCTTCTTCTTCTTCTTGGAATCCTCTGCAGCCGTTCTTTCCGTGCTACTTTGTCTTTGCTTCTTCTTCTTCTTGGGATCCTCTGCAATCTTTCTACTTTGCCTTTGCTTCTTCTTCTTCTTGGGATATTCTGCAGCCTTTCTCTCCGGGCTACTTTGCCTTTGCTTCTTCTTCTTCTTGGGATCCTCTGCAGCCTTTCTCTCCGGGCTACTTTACCTTTGATTCTTCTTCTTGGGGTCCTCTGCAGCCTTTCTCTCCGGACCCTTTTGCTTTTGCTTCTTCTTCTTCTTCTTGGAATCCTCTGCAACCTTTCTCTCCGAGCTGCTTTGCCTTTGCTTCTTCTTCTTCTTGGGATCCTCTGCAGCCTTTCTCTCCGGACTACTTTGCCTTTGTCTCTTCTTCTTCTTGGGATCCTCTGCAGCCTTTCTCTCCGGGCTAGGTTGCCTTTGCTTCTTCTTCTTCTTGGGATCCTCTATAGCCATACTCTCCGGGCTACTTTGCCTTTGCTTCTTCTCTTCTTGGAATCCTCTGCAACCTTTCTCTCCGGACTATATTGCCTTTGCTTCTTCTTCTTCTTGGGATCCTCTGCAGCCTTTCTCTCCAGGCTATTTTGCCTTCAATTCTTCTTCTTCTTCTTGGGATCCTCTGCAGTCTTTCTCTCCGGACTACTTTGCCTTTGCTTCTTCTTCTTGGGATCCTCTGCAGCCTTTCTCTCCGGACTACTTTGCCTTTGCTTCTTCTTCTTGGGATCCTCTGCAGCCTTTCTCTCCGGGCTCTTTTGCCTTTGCTTGTTCTTCTTCTTGGAAGCTTCTGCAGCCTTTCTCTCCGGACTACTTTGGCTTTGCGTCTTCTTCTTCTTCTTGGGATCCTCTGCGGCCTTTCTCTCCGGGCTATTTTGCCTTTGCTTCATCCTCTGCAGCCTTTCTCTCCGGGCTACTTTGCCTTTGCTTCTTCTTCTTCTTCTTGCGATCTTCTGCGCAGCCTTTCTCTCCGGGCTACTTTGCCTTTGCTTCTTCTTCTTTTTGGGATCCTCTGCAACCTTTCTCTCCGGGCTCCTTTGCTTCTTCTTCTTGGGATCTCTCTTTCTCTCCGGGCTCCTTTGCTTCTTCTTCTTCTTGGGATCCTCTGCAGCCTTTCTCTCCGGGCTACTTTGCCTTTGCTTCTTCTTCTCCTTGGGATCCTCTGCAGCCTTTCTCTTCGGGCTACTTTGCCTTTGCTTCTTCTTCTTCTTGGGATCCCTCTATAGCCTTTCTCTCCGGGCTACTTTGCTTTTGCTTCTTCTTCTTCTTCTTGGGATCCTCTGCAGCCTTTCTCTCCGGGCTACTTTGCCTTGGCTTCTTCTTCTTCTTGGAATCCTCTGCAGCCTTTCTCTCCGGGCTAGTTTGCCTTTGCTTCTTCTTCTTCTTCTTTTTCTTGGAATCCTCTGCAGCCGTTCTTTCCGGGCTACTTTGTCTTTGCTTCTTCTTCTTGGGATCCTCTGCAACCTTTCTACTTTGCCTTTGCTTCTTCTTCTTCTTGGGATCCTCTGCAGCTTTTCTCTCCGGACTCCTTTGCCTTTTCTTCTTCTTCTTCTTGGGATCCTCTGCAGCCTTTCTCTCCGCGCTACTTTACCTTTGCTTCTTCTTCTTGGGGTCCTCTGCAGCCTTTCTCTCCGGACTCTTTTGCCTTTGCTTCGTCTTCTTCTTCTTCTTGGAATCCTCTGCAACCTTTCTCTCCGAGCTGCTTTGCCTTTGCTTCTTCTTCTTGGGATCCTCTGCAGCCTTTCTCTCCGGACTACTTTGCCTTTGCCTCTTCTTCTTCTGCTTGGGATCCTCTGCAGCCTTTCTCTCCAGGCTAGTTTGCCTTTGCTTCTTCTTCTTCTTGGGATCCTCTATAGCCTTATTCTCCAGGCTGTTTTGCCTTTGCTTCTTCTTCTTCTTCGGATCCTCTGCAGGGCTACTTTGCCTTTGCTTCTTCTTCTTGGGATCCTCTGCAGCCTTTCTCTCGGGCTGCTTTGCCTTTGCTTCCTCTTCTTCTTCTTGGGATCCTCTGCAGCCTTTCTCTCCGGACTTCTTTGCCTTTGCTTCTTCTTCTTTTTAGGATCCTCTGCAGCCTTTCTCTCCGGGCTACTTTGCCTTGGCTTCTTCTTCTTGGGATCCTCTGCAGCCTTTCTCTCCGGGCTACTTTGCCTTTACTTCTTCTTCGTCTTGGGATCCTCTGCAGCCTTTCTCTCTGGCTACTTTGCCTTTGCTTCTTCTTCTTCTTGGGATCTTCTGCAGCCTTTCTCTCCGGGCTACTTTGCCTTTGCTTCTTCTTTTTGGGATCCTCTGCAGCCTTTCTCTCCGGGCTACTTTGCCTTTGCTTCTTCTTCTTCTTGGGATCCTCTACAGCATTTCTCTCCGGGCTATTTTGCCTTTGCTTCTTCTTCTTCTTCTTGTCCTCTGCAGCCTTTCTCTCCAGACTACTTTGCCTTTACTTCTTCTTCTTCTTGGGATCCTCTGCAGCCTTTCTCTCCGGGCTACTTTGCCTTTGCTTCTTCTTCTTCTTGGGATCCTCTGTAGCCTTTCTCTCCGGGCTATCAATACTTTGCCTTTGCTTCTTCTTCTTCTTCTTGGGATCCTCTGCAGCCTTTCTCTCCGTGCTACTTTGCCTTTGCTTCTTCTTCTTCTTGCGATCTTCTGCAGCCTTTCTCTCCGGGTTACTTTGCCTTTGCTTCTTCTTCTTCTTGGGATCCTCTGCAACCTTTCTACTTTGCCTTTGCTTCTTCTTCTGCTTGGGATCCTCTGCAGCCTTTCTCTCCGGGCTAGTTTGCCTTTGCTTCTTCTTCTTCTTGGAATCCTCTGCAGCCGTTCTTTCCGGGCTACTTTGTCTTTGCTTCTTCTTCTTCTTGGGATCCTCTGCAACCTTTCTACTTTGCCTTTGCTTCTTCTTCTTCTTGGGATCCTCTGCCGCCTTTCTCTCCGGACTACTTTGCCTTTGCTTCTTCTTCTTCTTAGGATCCTCTGCAGCCTTTCTCTCCGGGCTAGTTTGCCTTGACTTCTTCTTCGTCTTGGGATCCTCTGTAGCCTTTCTCTCCGGACTCTTTTGCCTTTGCTTCGTCTTCTTCTTCTTGGAATCCTCTGCAACCTTTCTCTCCGAGCTGCTTTGCCTTTGCTTCTTCTTCTTGGGATCCTCTGCAGCCTTTCTCTCCGGACTACTTTGCCTTTGCCTCTTCTTCTTCTGCTTGGGATCCTCTGCAGCCTTTCTCTCCGGGCTACTTTGCCTTGGCTTCTTCTTCTTGGGATCCTCTGCAGCCTTTCTCTCCGGGCTACTTTGCCTCTATTTCTTCTTCTTCTTCTTACTGGGATCCTCTGCAGCCTTTCTCTCCGGGCTACTCTGCCTTTGCTTCTTCTTCTTCTTGGGATCCAATGCAGCCTTTCTCTCCGGGCTACCAATACTTTGCTTTTGATTCTTCTTCTTCTTGGGTTCCTCTGCAGTCTTTCTCTCCGGGCTACTTTGCCTTTACTTCTTCTTCTTGGGATCCTCTGCAGCCTTTCTCTCCTTTCTCTCCGGGCTACTTTGCCTTTGCTTCTTCTTCTTCTTGGAATCCTCTGCAGCCTTTCTCTCCGGTCTAGTTTGCCTTTGCTTCTTGTTCTTCTTGTGATCCTCTACAACCTTTCTCTCCGGGCTACCAATACTTTGCCTTTGCTTCTTCTTCTTCTTCTTGGGATCCTCTGTAGTCTTTCTCTCCGGGCTACGTTGCCTTTACTTCTTCTTCTTCTTCTTAGGATCCTCTGCAGCCTTTCTCTCTGGACTATATAGCCTTTGCTTCTTATTCTTCTTTGGATCCTCTGCAGCCTTTCTCTCCGGGCTACTTTGCCTTTGCTTGTTCTTCTTGGGATCCTCTGCAGCCTTTCTTTCCGGGCTACTTTGCCTTTTCTTCTTCTTCTTCTTGTGATCCTCTGCAGCCTTTCTCTCCGGGCTACTTTGCCTTTGCTTCCTCTTCTTGGGATCCTCTGCAGTCTTTCTCTCCGGACTTCTTTGCCTTTGCTTCTTCTTCTTGGGATCCTCTGCATTCTTTCTCTGCGGACTACTTTGCCTTTGCTTCTTCTTCTTGGGGTCCTTTATAGCCTTTCTCTCCGGGCTACTTTACCTTTGCTTGTTCTTCTTTTTGGGATCCTCTGCAGCCTTTCTCCGTTGCCTTTGCTTCTTCTTCTTCTTCTTCTTGGGATCCTCTGCAGCTTTTCTCTCCGGGGTATTTTACCTTTGCTTCTTCTTCTTCTTGGGGTCCTCTGCAGCCTTTCTCTCCGGACTACTTTGCCTTTGCTTCTTCTTCTTGGGATCCTCTGCAGGGCTACTTTGTCTTTGCTTTTTCTTCTTGGGATCCTCTGCAGCCTTTCTCTCCGGACTTTTTTGGCTTTGCTTCTTCTTCTTCTTGGGGTCCTCTGCAGCCTTTCTCTGCGAGCTCTTTTGCCTTTGCTTCTTCTTCTTCTTGGGATCCTCTGCACTCTGCAGCCTTTCTCTCCGGGCCACTTTGCCTTTGCTTCTTCTTCTTGGGATCTTCTGCAACCTTTCTCTCCGGGCTATTTAGCCTTTGCTTCTTCTTCTTGGAATCCTCTACAGCCTTTCTCTCCGGGCTACTTTGCCTTTACTTCTTCTTCTTCTTGGGATCCTCTGCAGCCTTTCTCTCCGGGCTACTTTGCCTTTACTTCTTCTTCGTCTTGGGATCCTCTGCAGCCTTTCTCTCTGGGCTACTTTGCCTTTGCTTCTTCTTCTTGGGATCTCTGCAGCCTTTCTCTCCGGGCTACTTTGCCTTTGCTTCTTCTTTTGGGATCCTCTGCAGCCTTTCTCTCCGGCTACTTTGCCTTTACTTCTTCTTCTTCTTGGGATCCTCTGCAGCCTTTCTCTCCGGGCTACTTTGCCTTTGCTTCTTCTTCTTCTTGGGATCCTCTGCAGCCTTTCTCTCCGGGCTACTTTGCGTTTATTTCTTCTTCTTGGGATCCTCTGCAGCCTTTCTCTCCGGGTTACTTTGCCTTTGCTTCTTCTTTTTCTTGGGATCCTCTGCAGCGTTTCTCTCCGGGCTACTTTGCCTTTGCTTCTTCTTCTTCTTCTTGGGATCCTTTGCAGCCTTTCTCTCCGGGCTACTTTGCCTTTGCTTCTTCTTCTTCTTCTTCTTGCGATCTTCTGCAGCCTTTCTCTCCGGGCTATTTTGCCTTTGCTTCTTTTTCTTGGGATCCTCTGCAGCCTTTCTCTCCTCGCTACTTTGCCTTTGCTTCTTCTTCTTGGGATCTTCTGCAGCCTTTCTCTCCGGGCTACTTTGCCTTTGCTTCTTCTTCTTCTTGGGATCCTCTGCAAGCTTTCTACTTTGCCTTTGCTTCTTCTTCTTCTTGGGATCCTCTGCAGCCTTTCTCTCCGGGCTAGTTTGCCTTTGCTTCTTCTTCTTCTTGGGATCCTCTGCAGCCGTTCTTTCCGGGCTACTTTGTCTTTGCTTCTTCTTCTGCTTGGGATCCTCTGCAGCCTTTCTCTCCAGACTACTTTGCCTTTACTTCTTCTTCTTCTTGGGATCCTCTGCAGCTTTTCTCTCCGGGCTACTTTGCCTTTGCTTCTTCTTCTTCTTGGGCTCCTCTGCAGCCTTTCTCTCCGGGCTACTTTACCTTTGCTTCTTCTTCTTGGGGTCCTCTGCAGCCTTTCTCTCCGGACTCTTTTGCCTTTGTTTCGTCTTCTTCTTCTTCTTGAAATCCTCTGCAACCTTTCTCTCCGAGCTGCTTTGCCTTTGCTTCTCCTTCTTCTTTGGATCCTCTGCAGCCTTTCTCTCCGGACTACTTTGCCTTTGCCTCTTCTTCTTCTTGGGATCCTCTACAGCCTTTCTCTCCGAGCTAGATTGCCTTTGCTTCTTCTACTTCTTGGGATCCTCTATAGCCTTACTCTCCGGGCTGTGTTGCCTTTGCTTCTTCTTCTTCTTGGGATCCTCTGTAGGGCTACTTTGCCTTTGCTTCTTCTTCTTGGGATCCTCTGCAGCCTTTCTCTCCGTGTTACTTTGCCTTTGCTTCTTCTTCTTCTTGGGATCCTCTGCAGCCTTTCTCTCCGGACTACTTTGCCTTTGCTTCCTCTTCTTCTTTTTAGGATCCTCTGCAACCTTTCTCTTCGGGCTACTTTGCCTTGGCTTCTTCTTCTTGGGATCCTCTGCAGCCTTTCTCTCCGGGCTACTTTTCCTTTATTTCTTCTTCTTCTTACTGGGATCCTCTGCAGCCTTTCTCTCCGGGCTACTTTGCCTTTGCTTCTTCTTCTTCTTGGGGTCCTCTGCAGCCTTTCTCTCCGGGCTACTTTGCCTTTGCTTCTTCTTCTTCTTGGGATCCTCTGCAGCCTTTCTCTCCGGGCTACTTTGCCTTTACTTCTTCTTCTTGGGATCCTCTGCAGCCTTTCTCTCCCTTCTTTCCGGGCTACTTTGCCTTTGCTTCTTCTTCTTGGGATCCTCTGCAGCTTTTCTCTCCGGACTCCTTTGCCTTTGCTTCTTGTTCTTCTTGGGATCCTTGACAGCCTTACCAATACTTTGCCTTTGCTTCTTCTTCTTGGGATCCTCTGCAGTCTTTCTCTCCGGGCTACTTTGCCTTTACTTCTTCTTCTTGGGATCCTCTGCAGCGTTTCTCTCCGGGCTGTTTTGCCTTTTCTTCTTCTTCTGGGATACTCTTGCAGCCTTTCTCTCCGGACTACTTTGCCTTTGGCTTCTTGCTCTTACTTGTATCCTCGCAGCCTTTCCTCATCCGGGCTACTTTGCTTGTTCTTCTTCTCTTCCTTGGGATCCTCTGCACTTTTCTCTCCGGGCTACTTTGCTTTGCTTTCTTCTTTTGGGATCCTCTGCAGTCTTTCTCTCGCGGACTTCTTTGCCTTTGCTTCTTCTTCTTGGGGTCCTTTATAGCCTTTCTCTCCGGGCTACTTTTACCTTTGCTTTCTTCTTCTTTTGGGATCCCCTCTGCAGCCTTTCTCTTCTCCGGGCTACGTTGCCTTTTTGCTTCTTCTTCTTTTTGGATCCCTGCAGCCTGTCTCACTCCGCCTACGTTGCCTTGCTTTCTTTCTTCTTCTTGGGATCCTCTGCACTTTTTCTCTCCGGGCTACTTTACTTTTGCTTCTTCTTCTTCTTGGGATCCTCTGCAACCTTTCTCTCCGGACTACTTTGCCTTTGCTTCTTCTTCTTGGGATCCTCTGCAGCCTTTCTCTCCGGACTACTTTGCCTTTGCTTCTTGATCTTCTTGGGGTCCTCTATAGCCTTTCTCTCCGGACTTTTTCGCCTTTGCTTCCTTCTTCTTCTTGGGATCCTCTGCAGTCTTTCTCTCCTGGCTACTTTGCCTTTGCTTCTTCTTCTTCTTGGGATCCTCTGCAGCCTTTCTCTCCGGGCTACTTTGCCTTTGCTTCTTCTTCTTGGGATCCTCTGCAACCTTTCTCTCCGGATTTTTTCGCCTTAGCTTCCTTCTTCTTCTTGGGATCCTCTGCAGTCTTTCTCTCCGGACTATTTTGCCTTGGCTTCTTCTTCTTCTTGGGATCTTCTGCAACCTTTCTCTCCGGGCTACTTTGCCTTTTCTTCTTCTTCTTCTTGGGATCCTCTGCAGCCTTTCTCTCCGGGCTACTTTGCCTTTGCTTCTTCTTCTTCTTGGGATCCTCTGCAGCCTTTCTCTCCGGACTTTTTCGCCTTTGCTTCCTTCTTCTTCTTGGGATCCTCTGCAGCCTTTCTCTCCGGGCTACTTTGTCTTTGCTTCTTCTTCTTCTTGGGATCCTCTGCAGCCTTTCTCTCCGGACTATTTTGCCTTTGCATCTTCTTCTTGGGATCCTCTGCAACCTTTCTCTCCGGGCTACTTTGCCTTTGCTTCTTCTTCTTGGGATCCTCTGCAACCTTTCTCTCCGGGCTACTTTGCCTTTGCTTCTTCTTCTTGGCGTCCTCTGCAGCCTTTCTCTCCGGGCCAGTTTTCCTTTGCTTCTTCTTCTTCTTGGGATCCTCTGCAGCCTTTCTCTCCGGGCTATTTTGCCTTTGTTTCTTCTTCTTCTTGGGATCCTCTGCAGCCTTTCTCTCCGGGCCACTTTGCCTTTGCTTCTTCTTCTTCTTCTTGGGATCCTCTGCAGCCTTTCTCTCCGGGCTACTTTGCTTCTTCTTCTTGAAATCCTCTGCAGCCTTTCTCTCCGGGCTACTTTGCCTTGGCTTCTTCTTCTTCTTGGGATCCTCTGCAGCCTTTCCCTCCGGGCTACTTTGCCTTTTCTTCTTCTTCTTTTTCTTCTTCTTCTTCTTGGGATCCTCTGCAGCCTTTCTCTGCGGACTACTTTGCCTTTGCTTCTTCTTCTTGGGATCCTCTATAGCCTTTCTCTCCGGGCTACTTTGCCTTTGCTTCTTCTTCTTCTTGGGATCCAATGCAGCCTTTCTCTCCGGGCTACCAATACTTTGCCTTTGCTCCTTCTTCTTGGGACCCTCTATAGCCCTTCTCTCCGGGCTACTTTGCCTTTGCTTCTTCTTCTTCTTGGGATCCTCTGCAGCCTTTCTCTCCGGACTACTTTGCCTTGGCTTCTTCTTCTTGGGATCCTCTACAGCCTTTCTCTCCGGGCTACTTTGCCTTTGCTTCTTCTTCTTCTTGGGATCCTCTGCAGCCTTTCTCTCCGGGCTACTTTGCCTGTGCTTCTTCTTCTTGGGATCCTCTGCAGCCTTTCTCTGCGGGCTACTTTGCTTTTGCTTCTTCTTCTTCTTGGGATCCTCTGCAGCCTTTCTCTCCGGGCTCATTTGCCTTTGCTTCTTCTTCTTCTTGGGATCCTCTGCAGCCTTTCTCTCCGGGCTTTTTTTTCTTTGCTTCTTCTTCTTCTTGGGATCCTCTGCAGCCTTTCTCTCCGGACTTTTTTGCCTTTGCTTCTTCTTCTTCTTGGAATCCTCTGCAGCCTTTCTCTCCGGGCTACGTTGCCTTTGCTTCTTCTTCTTCTTGGGATCCTCTGCAGCCTTTCTCTCCCGGCTACTTTGCCTTTGCTTCTTCTTCTTGGGATCCTCTGCAGCCTTTCTCTCCGGGCTACCAATACTTTGCCTTTGCTTCTTCTTCTTCTTGGGATCCTCTGCAAGCTTTCTCTCCGGGTTTGTTCGCCTTTGTTCTTCTTTTTGGGATCCTCTGCAGCCTTTCTCTCCGGGCTACTTTGCCTTTTCTTCTTCTTCTTCTTGGGATCCTCTGCAGCCTTTCTCCCCGGGCTACTTTGCCTTTGTTTCTTCTTCTTCTTCTTGGGATCCTCTGCAGCCTTTCCCTCCGGGCTACTTACTTTGCCTTTGCTTCTTCTTCTTCTTGGGATCCTCTGCATCCTTGCTCTCCGGGCTACTTTGCTTTTGCTTCTTCTTCTTCTTCTTGGGATACTCTGCAGCCTTTCTCTCCGGGCTATTTTGCCTTTGCTTCTTCTTCTTCTTGGGATCCTCTGCAGCCTTTCTCTCCGGGCCACTTTGCCTTTGCTTCTTCTTCTTGGGATACTCTGCAGCCTTTCTCTCCGGGCTACTTTGCCTTCGCTTCTTCTTCTTCTTCTTCTTGGGATCCTCTGCAAGCTTTCTCTCCGGGTTTTTTCGCCTTTGTTCTTCTTCTTGGGATCCTCTGCAGCCTTTCTCTCCGGGCTACTTTGCCTTTGCTGCTTCTTCTTCTTCTTGGGATCCTCTGCAGCCTTTCTCTCCGGGCTCTTTTGCCTTTGCTTCTTCTTCTTCTTGGGATCCTCTGCAGCCTTTCTCTCCGGGCTATTTTGCCTTTATTTCTTCTTCTTCTTCTTACTGGGATCCTCTGCAGCCTTTCTCTCCGGGCTACTTTGTCTTTGCTTCTTCTTCTTGGGATCCTCTGCAGCCTTTCTCTCCGGGCCACTTTGCCTTTGATTCTTCTTCTTCTTGGGATCCTCTGCAGCCTTTCTCTCCGGGCTATTTTGTCTTTGCTTCTTCTTCTTCTTGGGATCCTCTGCAGCTTCTCTCCGGGCTACTTTGTCTTTGCTTCTTCTTCTTCTTGGGATCCTCTGCAGCCTTTCTCTCCGAGCTATTTTGCCTTTGCTTCATCCTCTGCAGCCTTTCTCTCCGGGCTATTTTGCCTTTGCTTCTTCTTCTTCTTGGGATCCTCTGCAGCCTTTCTCTCCGGGCTATTTTGCCTTTGCTTCTTCTTCTTCTTCTTGGGATCCTCTACAGCCTTTCTCTCCGGGCTACTTTGCCTTTGCTCCTTCTTCTTCTTGGGATCCTCTGCAGCCTTTCTCTCCAGGCTACTTTGCCTTTGCTTCTTCTTCTTCTTGGGATCCTCTGCAGCCTTTCTCTCCGGGCTACTTTGCCTTGGCTTCTTCTTCTTCTTGGGATCCTCTGCAGCCTTTCTCTCCGGGCTACTTTGCCTTTGCTTCTTCTTTTTCTTCTTCTTTTTCTTCTTCTTCTTGGGATCCTCTGTAGCCCTTCTCTCCTGGCTACTTTGCCTTTGCTTCTTCTTCTTGGGATCCTCTGTAGCCTTTCTCTCCGGACTACTTTGCCTTTGCTTCTTCTTCTTCTTGGGATCCTCTGCAGCCCTTCTCTCCGGGCTACTTTGCCTTTGCTTCTTCTTCTTGGGATCCTCTGCAGCCTTTCTCTCCGGGCTACTTTGCCTTTGCTTCTTCGTCTTCTTGGGATCCTCTGCAACTTGCCTTTGCTTCTTCTTCTTCTTCTTCTTGGTATCCTCTGCAGCCTTTCTCTCCGGGCTACTTTGACTTTGCTTCTTCTTCTTCTTCTTAGGATCCTCTGCAGCCTTTCTCTCCGGGCTACTTTGCCTTTACTTCTTCTTCTTCTTCTTGGGATCCTCTGTAGCCTTTCTCTCCGGGCTATTTTGCCTTTGCTTCTTCTTCTTGGGATCCTCTGCAGCCTTTCTCTCCGGGCTACTTTGCCTTTGCTTCTTCTTCTTCTTGGGCTCCTCTATAATTTTTCTCTCCGGCCTATTTTGCCTTAGCTTCTTCTTCTTCCTGGGATCCTCTGCAGCCTTTCTCTCCGGGCTACTTTGCCTTTACTTCTTCTTGTTCTTGGATCCTCTGCAGCCTTTCTCTCCGGGCTACTTTTCCTTTGCTTCTTCTTCTTCTTCTTGGGATCCTCTGCAATCTTTCTCTCCGGGCTACTTTGCCTTTGCTTCTTCTTCTTCTTGGGATCCTCTGCAGCCTTTCTCTCCGGACTACTTAGCCTTTGCTGCTTCTTCTTGGGGTCCTCTGCAGCTTTCTTTCCGGGCTACTTGGCCTTTGCTTCTTCTTCTTGTTCCTGGGATCCTCTGCAGCCTTTCTCTCCGGGCTTTTTTGCCTTTGCTTCTTCTTTTTCTTGGGACCTCTGCAGCCTTTCTCTCCGGGCTACTTTACCTTTGCTTCTTCTTCTTGGGATCCTCTACAGCCTTTCTCTCCGGGCTACTTTGCCTTTGCTTCTTCTTCTTCTTCCTGGGATCCTCTGCAACCTTTCTCTCCGGGTTGTTTGCCTTTGCTTCTTCTTCTTCTTGGGATCCTCTGCAGCCTTTCTCTCCGGGCTACTTTGCCTTTGCTTCTTCTTCTCCTTGGGATCCTCTGCAGCCTTTCTCTCCGGGCTATTTTGCCTTTGCTTCTTCTTCTTCTTGGGATCCTCAGCATTTCTCTCCGGCCTTATTTGCTTTTGCTTCTTCTTCTTCTTCTTGGGATCCTCTGTAGCCTTTCTTTCCGGGCTACTTTGCCTTTGCTTCTTCTTGGGATCCTCTGCAGCCTTTCTCTCCGGGCTACTTTGCCTTTGCTTCTTCTTCTTGATGGGATCCTCTGTAACCTTTCTCTCCGGGCTACTTTGCCTTTGCTTCTTCTTCTTCTTGGGATCCTCTGCAGCCTTTCTCTCCGGGCTATTTTGGCTTTGCTGCTTCTTCTTCTTGGGATCCTCTGCAGCGTTTCTCTCCGGGCTATTTTGCCTTTGCTTCTTCTTCTTGGGATCCTCTACAGCCTTTCTCTCCGGACTATTTTGACTTTGCTTCTTCTTCTTCTTGGGATCCTCTGCAGCCTTTCTCTCCGTGCTACTTTGCCTTTGCTTCTTCTTCTTCTTGAGATCCTCTGCAGCCTTTCTCTCCGGGCTACTTTGGTTTGCTTCTTCTTCTTGGGATCCTCTACAATCTTTCTCCGGGCTACTTTGCCTTTGCTTAATCTTCTTCTTGGGATCCTCTGCAGACTTTCTCTCCGGGCTACTTTGCCTTTGCTTCTTCTTCTTGGGATCCTCTGCAGCCTTTCTCTCCGGGCTACTTTGCCTGTGCTTCTTCTTCTTCTTCTTCTTCTTGGAATCCTCTGCAACCTTTCTCTCCGGACTTTTTTGTCTTTGCTTCTTCTTTTTCTTAGGATCCTCTGCAGCCTTTCTCTCCGGGCTACTTTGCCTTTGCTTCTTCTTCTTCTTGGGATCCTCTGCAATCTTTCTCTCCCGGCTACTTTGCCTTTGCTTCTTCTTCTTCTTGGGATCCTCTGCAGCCTTTCTCTCCGGGCTACTTTGCCTTTGCTTCTTCTTCTTCTTGGGATCCTCTGCAGCTTTTCTCTCCGGGCTACTTTGCCTTTGCTTCTGCTTCTTCTTGGGATCCTCTGCAGCCTTTCTCTCCGGGCTACTTTGCCTTTGCTTCTTCTTCTTGGGATCTTCTACAGCCTTTCTCTCCGGATTATTTTGTCTTTGCTTCTTCTTCTTCTTGGTATCCTCTGCAACCTTTCTCTCCGGTCTTGCTTGCCTTTGCTTCTTCTTATTCTTCTTCTTCTTGGGATCCTCTGCAGCCTTTCTCTCCGGGCCATTTTACCTTAGCTTCTTCTTCTTCTTGGGATCCTCTGCAATCTTTCTCTCCGGGCTACTTTGCCTTTACTTCTTCTTGTTCTTGTGATTTTCTGCAGCCTTTCTCTCCGGGCTCTTTTGCCTTTGCTTCTTCTTCTTCTTGTGATCCTCTGCAGCCTTTCTCTCCGGACTACTTTGCCTTTGCTTCTTCTTCTTCTTCTTTTTCTTCTTCTTGTTGGGATCCTCTGCAGCCTTTCGTTCCGGGCTACTTTGCCTTTGCTTCTTCTTCTTCTTGGGATCCTCTGCAGCCTTTCTCTCCGGGTTGTTTTGCCTTTGCTTCTTCTTCTTGGGATCCTCTGCAGCCTTTCTCTCCGGGCAATTTTGCCTTTCCTTCTTCTTCTTCTTCTTGGGATCCTCTGCAGCCTTTCTCTCCGAGCTACTTTGCCTTTGCTTCTTCTTCTTCTTGAGATCCTCTGCAGCCTTTCTCTCCGGGCTACTTTGCCTTTGCTTCTTCTTCTTCTTCTTCTTGAGATCCTCTGCAGTCTTTCTCTCCGGGCTACTTTGCCTTTGCTTCTTCTTCTTGGGATCCTCTGCAGCCTTTCTCTCCGGGCTATTTTGCCTTTGCTTCTTCTTCTTGTGGTCCTCTGCAGCCTTTCTCTCCGGACTCTTTTGCCTTTGCTTCTTCTTCTTGTTCTTGGGATCCTCTGCAGCCTTTCTCTCCGGGCTTTTTTGCCTTTGCTTCTTCTTTTTCTTGGGATCCTCTGCAGCCTTTCTCTCCGGGCTATTTTGCCTTTGCTTCTTCTTCTTCTTGGGATCCTCTACAGCCTTTCTCTCCGGACTACTTAGCCTTTGCTGCTTCTTCTTGGGGTCCTCTGCAGCTTTCTTTCCGGGCTACTTGGCCTTTGCTTCTTCTTCTTGTTCTTGGGCTCATCTGCAGCCTTTCTCTCCGGGCTTTTTTGCCTTTGCTTCTTCTTTGTCTTGGGACCTCTGCAGCCTTTCTCTCCGTGCTTCTTCTTGGGATCCTCTGCAGTCTTTCTCTCCGGGCTACTTTGCCTTTGCTTCTTCTTCTTCTTGGGATCCTCTGCAGCCTTTCTCTCCGGGCTACTTGCTTCTTCTTCTTGGGATCCTCTACAATCTTTCTCCGGGCTACTTTGCCTTTGCTTCTTCTTCTTGGGATCCTCTGCAATCTTTCTCTCCGGGCTACTTTGCTTTTGCTTCTTCTTCTTCTTGGGATCCTCTGCAGCCTTTCTCTCCGGGCTACTTTGCCTTTGCTTCTTCTTCTTCTTGGGATCCTCTGCAGCCTTTCTCTCCGGGCTACTTTGCGTTTATTTCTTCTTCTTGTGATCCTCTACAGCCTTTCTCTCCGGGTTACTTTGCCTTTGCTTCTTCTTTTTCTTGGGATCCTCTGCAGCGTTTCTCTCCGGGCTGCTTTGCCTTTGCTTCTTCTTCTTCTTGGGACCCTCTGCAGCCTTTCTCCGGACTACTTTGCTTTTATTTCTTTTTCTTGGGATCCTCTGCAGTCTTTCTCTCCGGGCTATTTTGCCTTTGCTTCTTCTTCTTCTTGGGATCCTCTGCAGCCTTTCTCTCCGGGCTACTTTATCTTTGCTTCTTCTTCTTCTTCTTGGGATCCTCTGCAATCTTTCTCTCCGGGCTACTTTGCCTTTGCTTCTTCTTCTTCTTGGGATCCTCTGCAATGTTTCTCTCCGGGCTCTTTTGCCTTTGCTTCTTCTTCTTCTTGGGATCTTCTGCAGTCTTTCTCTCCGGGCTATTTTGCCTTTGCTTCTTCTTCTTCTTGGGATCCTCTGCAGCCTTTCTCTCCGGGCTATTTTGCCTTTGCTTCTTCTTCTTCTTGGAGTCCTCTGCAGCCTTTCTCTCCGGGCTACTTTGCCTTTGCTTCTTCTTCTTGGGATCTTCTGCAGCCTTTCTCTCCGGGCTATTTTGCTTCTTCTTCTTCTTCTTCTTCTTGGGATCCTCTGCAGCCTTTCTCTCCGGGCTACTTTGCCTTTGCTTCTTCTTCTTCTTGGGATCCTCTGCAGCCTTTCTCTCCGGGCTACTTTACCTTTGCTTCTTCTTCTTCTTGGGATCCTCTGCAGCCTTTCTCTCCGGGCTGCTTTGCCTTTGCTTCTTCTTCTCCTTGGGATCCTCTGCAGCCTTTCTCTCCGGGCTATTTTGCCTTTGCTTCTTCTTCTTCTTGGGATCCTCTACAGGCTTTCTCTCCGGGCTATTTTATCTTTGCTTCTTCTTCTTCTTGGGATCCTCTGCCGCCTTTCTCTCCGGGCTACTTTGCCTTTGCTTCTTCTTCTTCTTGGGATCCTCTGCAGCCTTTCTCTCCGGGCTACTTTGCCTTTGCTTCTTCTTCTTCTTGGGATCCTCTGCAGCCTTTCTCTCCGGATTTTTTTGTCTTTGCTTCTTCTTTTTCTTGGGATCCTCTGCAGCCTTTCTCTCCGGGCTACTTTGCCTTTGCTTCTTCTTCTTCTTGGGATCCTCTGCAGCCTTTCTCTCCGGGCTATTTTGCCTTTGCTCCTTCTTCTTCTTCTTGGAATCCTCTGCAGCCGTTCTTTCCGGGCTACTTTGCCTTTGCTTCTTCTTCTTCTTTTTGGGATCCTCTGCAGCCTTTCTCTCCGGGCTACTTTGCCCTTGTTTCTTCTTCTTGGGATCCTCTGCAGCCTTTCTCTCCGGGCTACTTTGCCTTTGCTTCTTCTTCTTCTTGGGATCCTCTGCAGCGTTTCTCTCCGGGCTACTTTGCCTTTGCTTCTTCTTCTTGGGATCCTCTGCAGCGTTTCTCTCCGGGCTACTTTGCCTTTGCTTCTTCTTCGTCTTACTGGGATCCTCTGCAGCCTCTCTCCGGGCTACTTTGCCTTTGCTTCTTCTGCTTCTTGGGATCCTCTGCAGCCTTTCTCTCCGGGCCATTTTACCTTAGCTTCTTCTTCTTCTTGGGATCCTCTGCAATGTTTCTCTCCGGGCTACTTTGTCTTTACTTCTTCTTCTTCTTGGGATTTTCTGCAGCCTTTCTCTCCGGGCTCTTTTGCCTTTGCTTCTTCTTCTTCTTGGGATCCTCTGCAGCCTTTCTCTCCGGGCTACTTTGCCTTTACTTCTTCTTCTTCTTGGGATCCTCTGCAGTCTTTCTCTCCGGGCTACTGTGCCTTTGCTTCTTTTTATTCTTCTTGGGATCCTCTGCAGCCTTTCTCTCCGGGCTACTTTACCTTTGCTTCTTCTTCTTCTTGGGGTCCTCTGCAGCCTTTCTCTCCGGACTCTTTTGCCTTTGCTTCGTCTTCTTCTTCTTCTTGGAATCCTCTGCAACCTTTCTCTCCGAGCTGCTTTGCTTTTGCTTCTTCTTCTTCTTCTTGGGATGCTCTTCAGCCTTTC